GCAGCAATAAAAAGTCTGTCTTGTTTTTGTGCTCAGTGATAGGGCTTGGCACATTGTGTTGCTGAGCAAATGTTTGTTTGTTGAATGATCCTCGTTTCTATGTATCCAAGGCTTATGCAGCTGTGTAAAACCAAGACATTGATATTCTCATCCTCGAAGTCAATTTCCCCCCTTTTGGTTTTGATTTCTGTAATGAGTAAAATCAGTGTTAATACCAATTGTATCTGCTGCTGTGTCATGGTCCTCAATCACAAACAGCAGTGATGTTTTATGTATACAGGCATAGTTATCTGAGTAGCTTTTCTGTAGTACTTTTACAACCACTACTCCATATGGACCAAAAATGTGTGTGTGCATATATACATACATACATATATATATATATATATATATACACAAATATACATACGTATTTATATGTTTACATGCATTTATAGGTATGTTGCCCCAGTTCAGTTTTTGTGCTATAACACAAACACCTGAGACTGGATATATTACAAAGAATGGAAAGTTATGCCACAAGATCACAGTACTAGCACATTTAATGTCTGGTGAGGGCTGCTATCTTCTTCCAAGACAGACACATGTTGCTTCCTCACCTGTTGGGAGCAATGAATGTTTTGTCTTCATATGAAAGGCAGAGGGCACAAAAGGCTTACATCCTTTATAGGGATACCAATCCCTTTAATAAGGGAGGAAATAACCTGCTAAAATCCTTCTTAAATATTTCACATTAGAGTATAACAACTGCATAATTTTTGAGGGACATCTACATTCAAATTATAGTATACGAATATACCTGTACTTTACATACAGCTTTATTTTAACTCAATATTGTATATTTATAGCACAGGGAAAATATATAAATTTTGTGATTAATTAAACTATTAGCTAAACTAAAAATAACTTTTTAAGTGAAAAGAGCCCTAATTTAGAACCTATAAAAGATTTGGTTCAATTCCGTTAAATCATAAAAGAGTTCTTATTTTTAAAATCATAATGCACAATATTCTTTACATTCCTCTAACTAGAAGAAAGCCCATGCTTAATTATGAGGAATAAAGTATATTTTACCTAACTTAAAGCTTGTGTTGTGGCTCACAAAATTATAGCCAGAGTGGTGGCACTTTGAAGTACTCTGAATTAAAGGGCCTAGAATGCCTCAGAGCAAAGTTCTTTTCTGACCCTCTTTACCCAGCACCTTTCCCCTTCCCTCCCTGAAGCAGATCACAGAATCCAGAATTACCCTACATTAGCTCATAGAAATGAAAATCTCTCTTCCCCAAAGCAAGCCATAAAACCTAGAAGTATTATTTAGCCTTCCCTCACCTTCCTGGTAGAAACCTGCTGTGGGATGTCTTTCTGCATGCTGTGAATAAGTGTTGTTCTGATTGGTTGATAAATAAAACTGCATTGGCCTATGGCAGGGCAGGATGGATTCAGGCAGGAAAATCCAAGAGAGATAATGGGAGGAGAAAGAGGAGTGGGGCAGATGCCTCCAGGAGAAGCAAGATGTAAAGTACTGGTAAGCCACAAGCCACGTGACAAGGTATAGATTTATAGCAATGGGTTAATTTAAGATATAAGAGCTAGCTAGCAAGAAGCCTGTCACGGGCATAGTTTGAAAATAATATAAGCCTCTGTGTGTTTATTTGGGTCTGAGCAGTTGTAGGACTGGGCAGGACACAGGAAAACTTCCAACTACAGAAACTCTTGGACCTATCTTTTCTGATAGTAAGTTATGAGAGCCATGTTCCAGAGCAATCTTGCCCCATACCTAGAAGGAAGAAATGCATGTGGTTTGAATGTAAAAGTTTCCCCAAGGGCTCTAATGCTGATGTTTTGGAAGGTTGTGGCATTTGTAGGAGGTGAAGCCTCACTAGAGGAAGTTTGATTTGCTTTCACTTACTGTTCACTCTCTGCTTTCTGAGTGAGGGTGTAAAATGACTGGCCAGCTTCCTGCTCCTACCCCACTATAATGTGCGGTATCCTAATGGAACTGTTAAGTCCAAATAAGCCCCTTCTCATGTAAGCTGCCATTGTCAGTGTATTTAATCTCAGCAGTGAAAAAGTAACCAAGAATGTCCAACAGAAGTGCCGAGGAATCTGTATCACCAGGCCTCAGCGAGTGTCCTTACACAACTTGTTACTCTCATATGGTGCATTTTGTCTCAAGGAGTTATATTTCTACATGACTGTTCACTCTTCATCAACCCTAAGCAGCAGAGTAGCATATCCAAGACAGCATGGAAAGATTCTTGACTCTGCCCTAATCCACTAGCACTCAAGCAATAGTCATCTTATCTATTATAGGTCTTAACTAACAGTGACTCTTGGCTGGGGTAACTATTTTGTCTCATTAGTATGAACATGCATTCAAACTCAGCATAATGAAACCTCAACTGAGGATTACTCTGAAAGGCACAGTGAAATTTTTATTTATTCAGTTGGTGATTTTTGAATTTACTACACATCAGAGATAGTCTAAGTTTTTGAAAGTCAGTAAAAAAAAAGTGCCTACAACATGTATAGCATTCATCTCTGCACAACATTCCTCTGTGTATTTTACACATGGATCAACTTTTCTTTGGGAGATGTGAAGAAAGAGTCTATTAACTACAAAATGCACCAATTAACCAAAGAAATGATCCCAGCCAAGTCTAGCATGGGGAACCAGTGAGTTTACTGAGGCAGAGGTTACTTAGCAAATGTGACTCAAAAGCAATTGCATCACCAAATTCCCACCCCACTTGGGTGATGAGTCATGAAAGTTACATCATTGTAGTCCTACCCTCAGTCAACCTTCCATCTTTACAAACTCTAATACTTCCAAAGACCAAGTGTAGCTGAGAGACAGTAGGGGAGGGGCCACAGAGGAATCTTAGATAGGGGTAGGGTTACCCTCCCCCATGCCTTCTATAAGGGATTATCAAAACTTCACTGCTGTTACCATAGACATAGCTATCACTGTAATTTTTCTTTCTTTTACTGTTGTTTTTTATTTATTACTTTATTGCCATGACTGTGCAGCCACAGTATTCTGTGGCCTGTCACAGTTGCCTCTGGTCCCACGACAGGGGTTGTCCTGTTAAGCCTGGGGAAATATAAACACGTGTCTACTGCTGTAAATCCATTTTACCAATTAGAGAAGTTGAAGCATAGAATGATACCACGGCTTTTCCAAGGTCACACAAGTAGTTAAATGGTAGATCTGTTAAGAAGTTGGACCAAGAGGGGAGACGCATGACGCAAGAGCCGAGGTGTAAAGCGGGATGTGAGGGATGCGGTGGCAATGTGGGTAGAGAGTAACAGAAAGGACAAGCAGTGCCCATTTCAAAGAATGAAGTGTCATGGGAGAGTTCTTGGGAGAACAGAGAGGAACTAGACAGAAGAAGGTTCTGGCGTCCAACGTGGTGGCAAGAGTTTCCACCTAAAACCTGAGAAAAGATTCTAAAATGGAGCTAAAAACAGTTCCTAATTATCTCTCTCAAATGAGCAGCAGCTGCCAGTTTGAGCTACTTGTGGGTTCCTGGCGTGTGCCCTCGACCTGCAGTATGGCGGGAATGAGGCCTTTGCAAGTGACACTTTGAGCTGCATGGTGGATTTAGACTTTGCTGGTGCAGAGCAAAAGGGGAGGTTTCTGGGCTGCATGCTGCTTGGATAAAGGCATGGACCCGCGATGGTTCCCAGAGCTGGCGGTAAGCATACCGCCGCCATGTTGGGAAGCTGAGGTGGGCAGAGCCAGCAGCCACAGCTGCTGCAGTTTACAGCAATAGATTCACAATAAGACAGATTCAGATGTAATAGTTTACAATATGTGTAAAATATACGTAGGCTTAAAAGAGACAAAAAAGGTGATATATGGTGATATATACAGTTATATAAACAAATACATAGTTTTAAAAAAATAAAGTCTTTAAAGAGACAGTAAAATTAATATAAAAAAACAAGCCACATAAAGATAAATATTACACAGAGAATCTAGATTATGTTGTCTTTGGGATTTTTAACTGCAAAAAAACATTTGATTATAAAAGCTGTTGAGTTATGCCAAAATGTATATTTTAAAGGTACCTTGACTTCAAAATTTGGATATAAGGATATGTTACTTTAGAAAGGAGATTCTGCTTTTGTTCCCACAGAAAGTCAGAGGCTATGGATTTGTTCCAGATTAAGATACATCAGGTTTGACCAGCCAAGACCCCCTGAAAGGTGACACCAAGGCCCAGATGATCCAACATCCAGAATGGTTTCAAGGCAACTGGCTCAGACGATACAGCCTCACAGACTACTCCATGATCCTAAAATTTTCTTTGTTTACCCAGAAGATACAGCGCCCCCCTCCAGCAGGAAGTAGTAAGAGAAGCTATGCCCAAATTCCCAAATATACCAAGCTGACTTTGGAGATGTGTAAAGGTTAAAACCTTCCTTTTTTTAAAAAAAAGGGGGGAAGTGCTGTGGGATGGTCTGTATGTCAAATGTGTTGCTGATTGGTCAATAAATAAATCACTGATTGGCCCGTGGCCAGGCAGGAAGTGTAGGCGGGACAAGGAGGAGAATAAAGCTGGGAAGTGGAAGACTGAGTCAGAGAGACACTGCCAGCCGCCATGATGAGAAACAGCATGTGAAGATGCCGGTAAGCCACGAGCCATGTGGCAAGGCATAGATTAATGGAAATGGATTAATTTAAACTGTAAGAACAGTTAGCAAGAAGCCTGCCACGGCCATACAGTTTGTAACCAATATAAGTCTCTGTGTTTACTTGGTCGGGTCTGAGAGGCTGTGGGATTGGCAGGTGAGAGAGTTTGTCCTGACTGTGGGCCAGGCAGGAAAACTTTAGCTACAAGGTTCCACGGGAGGGAAGGAACATAAGGTAAATCCCCAAATTGACACAGACGTGGGACTCAGGAAATGGCTTGGTTGGGAAAGTTCCTGCCGTGCAAGCATGAGAACTTGAGTTTGGATCTCTGGTACCCACTAAAAAGCAGGTGATAATGCACCTTTTTAACCTCTGTGCCTCCGGTTCAGGGGGTGGGTGGGGCAACAGGTGAATCCTTGGAGCTCATTGGCCATTCAACCTACTCAGGTCAGCGAGCTCCATGCTCAGTTAGAGATCCTGTCTCAAAAAAAAAAAAAAAAAAAAAAAAAAAAAAAAAAAGATGAAGACAGATTGAGGAATACATCCATCATCAAACTCTGGTCTGCACATACATGTTCACACACCCACAGGAGTACACACATACACTACCACATATGCACAAGTAAAAGAATAAAGAGGAGGCAGGCTCAGAGAAAGTGTAAAAATGAATAATGAGGCCAGGTGGTGGTGGCGCACGCCTTTAATCCCAGCACTTGGGAGGCAGAGCCAGGCGAATCTCTGTGAGTTCAAGGCCAGCCTGGTCTACAGAGTGAGATCCAGGAGAGGCACCAAAACTACACAGAGAAACCCTGTCTTGAAAAACCAAAAAAAAAAAAAGAGAGAGAGAGAGAAGTGGCTATGGAGGTGAGAAATGGTGGAGACTACCATTCAAGTACACCATTCAGGGGGTGGGAATTCATTAGAGAAAAACCAACTTTGTTTTTAGTATAAGAATAGCTCAGTAAGTGTTGCATATTGATTTTAAGCAGTTGGTTTTAAAATTAAGTAAGACCCTGGATTTGAATCTTTGTCTTACCTGATTTTCAGCAGTAGACAAGTCCCTCCTGTAGGCTGCAATGCCTTGTCTGTTAAACAGATTGGGAAATACAGCTCTGAGTGGGATGCTAGGACAAGGTGGAGTTGTGCTTAGAAGGAACCTGGAATATGGGGATGCCCATATTATATATGGCAAATTGGAGAAAAAAGGAAGAAAAGACAATGTGTTGAGATTTTTTTCAGCAATTCAGCAGTGACAGTGATGGTCTAAAGCATTGTTTCTCATGGGATAGAGTACAGCCAACTTTAATTCTTTCGGGTAAGTTTGGCAGTGCTCGAGGGTCCTTTTGGTCACATGTGGGAGTGGATGGTAGTGGCATTGCATGGTATACAGAAATGCTGTGAAATACTCTGTAATATGTAGAACATCTTCACGGGGAAAGGAATTTGCCCAGTCCAGAACATCATCAGTGTCAGTGTTGCCCAAACATGGTCTTAGCATAGGAGTAGGGATGGGATAAAGTGGACAGACTGTAACAATGTCAACAAAGCAAAAGATCTTGGTAACCAACTTAATGTAGAAGGTACCATAGTTATAGGAATGTGGTCAGAGTTACTTATTCTGACAGCCATGGAAGCACTCTGCAGGCAGATAGTACCAGAAATTACTATGGAGTGAATAAATGAATGAGTATGGAAGTGAATAAATGAATGTTTAGTGAGTGCACAACATTCACACTTGTCTAACATTCCATATATTTAATATAGCTCATTGAATCTTCACAGTATAAGGAAACAACTCTGGTCCCCATATTATATAATCCAATAAAACATGGAAGGATTCTATGATTTGTCCAAAGTCACACAACTATTTGTGATTGTAGATCCCAGGATCAAGAAGGGAGATCCTTAAATGCTGTACGGTAAGGATTGAGGGCAGCCACAGAAGCAGCATAGTCTTGGTGGGAAGACGGCCATTTCAGTCACAGACTTGAGATGTTTAAAGCAATTATTTAATAGCACATGTAGGTCAAAGGTTCAGTGTTTTGATGCCTCAATTGTTGAATCTACCAAATGGATTAAAAAAAAAATTAAACGGAAGCCTTCATTGAAAATAGTCCTTGAAAACAACACTAGATTTTTATAAAATACAACCAAGAATTAGTGCAAGTTGTTATTATAGCTAGAGAAAGCTACACTTTTGTGTTTATTAAATTTTCTGGGGAGACCACATTTTAAAACTTTCAATTATGTGGTCTTAGGGTGCTAAATATTTCCTCTCATCATTCTTTCTTGCCTAACCTCACTCTGTTGGCTCTGAAGTGAAATACAAAAACCTACTCATACCATGTAAGCCCCTGATGCTGTGGTTGCTCTTACCACTGGTTATGTGTCTGCTCTTCATGTAAAACCTTCTCCAAAGCCATTCTGGCTCTAAGGGCCCATTTGACACAGACTCTTTTTTAATTAGCTCATACTAATTGTATAAAGTAGTAGGTTCAGTTATGGTATTTCGAACTTGCCTATAATGTACTTTGAATATTTACCCCCACATTACTTTCTTGTCTCCTTCCTTACAATGACTCTTAGAACCAGAGCAGAGCCGTTGGTCCATAGAGATCTCTTTGCATGTATTCCGGGGTCCCTGTCAAGAGCCTTGTTGAATGATTTCTACATTGTTGGTGCAGGCAAGAAATTCTGCTGCTACAGAAACCTTGAGTCTGTTCTCACTGCTCTGGTCATTACAATGTGCTCCGTGCGCGACGCTATTATAGAGTAAACAGAGTGCTTTGTAAGTTGCTTGTTACCCGCCCCCTCACACACACCCGAGCCATCCAGTCATGTCAACTGTAACTTGTTACTAAAACCCTTTAGGGAAACTCCACCAGAGCTTGTTTCGGGATATTTTCGCTCTTCTCTGTCATGCTGAGGAGCGAAGCTGTGCATCCCGAGTCTTCCGACCTGAGGATGTGTTCTTTCAGGTGAAGGACCTGCTCCTGAATGGGCTTGACCCCTCCTTGCTTCTCAGTACGGTTAATATCAGTGGGTTTTGTGGGTTTAGGTTCCTCAGTGACCTCAGTTCCATGAGTTCCCCTTATCATACTTTCCAGAAGCTCTCAGAGTCCTTTCCCCCCCGCTTGAAAAACAGCCCATAGTGTCTAATGATTAAACTTTTACCACATAAACATTTCCCAGAACAAACAGATCACTAAGTCCAGGCAAACTATCTAGGCCTCCAGCTGCTGAGCAAATTGCCCTCCCAGAATCGGAGAGAACGGAGAAAGAAGGTTGCCGTGGGAGCTGGAGGGTCTGCCTGGTAGGTATTTGGACAGTCTTCAAAACAGTGATCTCCACCACCACTGTCCAAGCTGCATCACTGCCAGGCCCTCAAGAAATGTGTCCAGGGACTGCAATTTGGAGTCTCGAGGCAAACAGGGCATTTGATACTGCAGTCAGGTCAAAGGTAGTACCCAGAATATGCCCACCCTGTCATTTCCTAGGTAACAAGTACACACACACGTGTGTGAATGTGTGTTGTGTATACCTGTTCACATATGTATGGGTGCACATGTGTGTGCAGGTGCACCTGTGTGCCTATGTATGTAGTGGGCTTAGACTGATGCTGAGCATCTTCCTGATGACTCTCCACCTTAGATATTGAAGCAGAGTCTCTCAGCGTTCCTGGAGCTCGCCATTTCAGCTAGCCTGGCTAGCCAGCTTACTCAAGGATCCCCTTCTCTGCTTCCTGTCCACTGGGAGTCCTGGCAGGCTGCCAGGCCAGCCAGCTTCTGTTTGGGTTTGGAGAATCTGAATTCTGGTCCTTCTAATACCTGAGCCACAAGTGTTTTATCCTCTAAGCGGTAGCCCCTAGATAACTTTTCGGTCACGTTTTATTTTCACACTGACTCGTTCTAGAGCTTTGTTCTTGCGCCTTCTGTGTCTACCGACTCTTAGTTCCCTAGAAGTAGCTGTTCAAAACACAGTCATAAAACTATTGTGCACTTTCTTCTCCACCGTCTCCGATACGCTCCTTCAGGGCACTAAATCTTGACTATGAGAGACCAAGAGTGCAATAAGTGTGTTTCAAGGGACCTGATATTGGAGCAAAAGCTCACTACCCAAAATTGGTTTTGGTCAGACTTTTAAATCCTAAATTCATGCCAAAATATCATATAATAAGCTGTAAACATGTATCATTTTCATGGTTTTCTGTGTCAGCTAAAAAATAAATTAAAATGTGAGGCTGGGAGATGGCTCAGAGGGTAACAGTGTTTGTTGTACAAGCCTGGGGACTTGAGTTTGAATCCCTAGCACCCACACAAAATGCCAGGCATAGCCCCACAGGCCTGTGGCACCAGGGCCACAGAGTGTGGAAATACTCAGAAGCTCCCAGGGCAGCCAAAGCAGCTGACTTCTCTTTTAGTAAGAGACCCTTTTCTAAGACAATGAAGTAGAAAGTGATTGTGTAAGACATCAGATGTCTTTCTCTGGCTTTGGCTTGCATGCCCATGGGTACACCTGCACTCCTGTGTGCATCCAACACACACACACACACACACACACACACACACACACACACACACACACACACACACACACATTAATTAATTAAAATTTTCAAAATTTTTTTGGGATAGAAACAGTGCTCAGCAGAAGGGAACTTACCTAGTGCATGTAAGGCCTTGAGTACAATCACCAGCACCTATAGAATGCAATTTAAAAGAATTCTAAATAGCAAAAGACGATAAAAGAACCCTGAGTGCATCTTGCCATTTCTTTCTTGTTGTTATTATTGCTTTTGAGAGAGGGTCTTGCTGTGTAGTTCTGGCTGTCCTCAAACTCACTCTGAAGACCAAGCTGGCCTTGAACTCACAGTGATCTACCTGCCTGTCCATTCCAAGTGCTGGGATTAAAGGTAAGTGTCACTATGCCTAGCTCATCTCTTGACAGTTTTGCTTCCCCGAACCATGGAGCCATCAGGTACAGGACTGTGAGACAAAGGCAGCTGTCAACGCATTCTGTTAGTGAGCGCTCGCCACAGCCCCGGAAAACACACTAGGGCGGGAAGGGACAGAGACTAAAGGGGCTTCGGAAGCAGCACGTTGGAGCTGGGATTCCTGGAGGCTGTGGGCACGCTCACAGAGAAGGACGTCAGCCATGGTTGAAGACAGTCTTAAAAACCTAGCAAAGGAACATTTTACCCATTTGTCAAGCCTGGGAGCTGGGACACCTCATTTGCATGCACTTTTTGTTCATTTATAAGCAACTGAAATGATGAAAAAAAATTCCTTGTGATGTCTTACTAAAACTATCAGGGGAACCCGTATGAAACTGCTCCCAAGGACCACAGGTTGATTTGTTTTATTTTTTCATTTACTGTCCCCCCCCTCCCCGCGCACACACACCATTGGAAGAAATTAATGAAAATAATCAGTTGGTTTAACAAAGAAAACAAAATCCTATCATGATGCTTGTAAAATAGATGTTCAGTGTGACTGGATGATATGTGTCTCTCATGGATTCATCTGGCTGTAAAGCTTGGGAGGCCTCAGCATACCGTCCCCGTCCCCCCAACCCCAACCCTGGCCCCTGCCATGAGCCTGTAAATTCCTAAAATATTAAGAAAAATAGAATTGTAGAAGACAAGTTCTTGAATGAAATCTCTCACAGAATGTGAAAATCTCCTCTGGCTATAAGGTGACCATGTTGCTAGGAAGCATGGTGTGCCTTGGTTTACTCAGAAAATGCCATCAACAGCTTTAGTATGTGTGGTGGTTTGAATAAGAATAGCCCCCATAGGCTCATATATTTGAATATTTAGTCATCAGGGAGTGGCACTACTTGAGAGGAGTGGTTGGAGTAGGTATGGCCTTGTTGGAGGAAGTGTGTCATGGCAGGTAGGCTTGGGGTTTCAAAAGCCCAAACCAGCCCTGGTGTCTCTCTCTTCCTGCTGCCTGTGGATCTGGTTGTAGAACTCTCTGCTACTTCTCTAGCACATACATGTCTGCCTCCATACTGCCATGCTCCCTGCCATGATGACAAGGGACTACACCTCTGAAACTGTAAGCAAGCCCCAATAAAATGCTTTCTTTTATAAGAGTTGCCACGGTCATGATGTCTCTTCACAGTAATAGAATGCTAAGATACTGTGGGAACCTGGCAAAGAAACTGATTACTAACAGGAAAGAGTTGGTTCTATACTGCAATAAAGTGATGGTTACGTAATTTGTTAAGATTACTCAGAACATTGGCATCCTTTTGCTCAGCCTTACTGTTAGTGCTGTATTAAATATATTCTTTTGAGAAGGCGGAGATTCTCCTAAGAGTAACATGATCTCTCATTTTGTGTCATTCTCTTCTTTATCGCTAAATTCTCCTGATGTCACTTGGGAAAATGATTTGAGTACCTTCTGGGGCCTGCCATGCTACCGTCTTTGTACTGGACTTTGATGAGAAGGAATTTGTCCAGATTCTGAACCCCCAAATTCAGGATGAGGAATCTCCATTGGTTCCCACTGTGGTATCGGTAGAAGGAGCATTTCAGTCCATCACGTGATTGGTTAGCAAAGACTTTGACTCTGAATGCCCATGAAATGCCAAATGTGTTGACCCAGGCTAGACCACATGAGAACTTTCAGATTTCTATGTAGCATCCCTTTTGCACTCTACCTGACATTGGTACTAATCCAAGCAGCTTGCTTTATCTCTTTTTCCTGAGGACCAGGCATTAATTAAGGCTTCACTTCGACCCTTGGTTCATCTCAATACAACTTCTCTCCACCTCATAAAAACACCTGGAAAGTGTTTCTCTTGATCTAGGACAAAGTTGGAGGTGAACAAGCTATGACCTCAAAACTCCAACAATCTCTCAAGTTTTGCATCTGTAGCCAGGAGCCTCTGGATCTAAGGCAAATGACTAAGCACAATGTCCCTATTGATGAGTATTGGGGCTAGCTTTTGCAGTGCTAGGAGTCAGGTGAAGAATGATTGGACAGTGGATTGTTCAAGCCTTCTCTTCTCTCCATTGGACACTTCGACTCTACTGGCATCTTTTGGATCTGCCTCAGAGACGTGACCTAATCACATAAGCCACATGAGCGATATTGCCAAAAATTAATCTAGAAGTCATCCAAGTGGCATATCAGTAGGGGAAAAGATTAGAATCCTGACAATCAAGGCCATTACAATGTTATGGATGACAAGCCAGGGAGACTGGCACTAGGAGAGAAAGCTGGTTAAAAGAACAACAGTGCAGAAATGATTCTCAGAATGTGTTGAAAGATGTCCAAGTAAGTTTACAGAAATTTTATTTTCTGAGTTTCTGAAATGGCATGGAAGACACATAAGGAAATTATGGAGGCAGGCACTAAGGCCTTTCAATCCAAAATTGAAAGGATTCCAAAGCATAAAACCTCTTTGACTGTGTATGGGGTTCCACCCTGACCATTTCATCTGTATTAGTTATCCTTGTTGCTGTAGCCAAAACCCCTGGCAGAAGTAACGTAAAGGGGGAAGGCTTACGCTGGCTCACGGCTGAGGGGGATACAGTCATTATGACGCCTGGGACAGTTCCAACCCTGGAATTGGGAGGTTGGAGAAAGTCACCTTGTGAGGACAGACATGAAACAGAGAAGGAACTGGCTTTAACCTTCAAAGACTCACACAAATGCCTCATTAGCCAGGCCTCCCCAGTGCCACTAGCAGGGGGCCGTGTATTCAGACATATAAGCCCATGGGGAACTAGAGTGTGATCCCAACTTGAAAATACCATTAGGAAGAAATTGCTAAATATTAGTACTCCTGACCTACCAAACACAGAGCTTAGTGTCACAACACATTGTAGATGGTCACTGTCCCTTCAGGAAGATGGAGCTCACTGTTGCTGCTCATTATTCCTAGACAGTGTAGTCTCACATGACACTCACTCACTAGAGGGTCAAAATGCGAACCCCAAAGTCTGGTTTCTATTGAAAGTGGACTGCTTTTGCATCATTGTAAAATCAACAAATCCCAAGTCCAGATGTTTTCCATAGAGGACAATCTGTAGAGTGAAAGGTGATAATAAGATGTAGACCAAATCAAAGTATAAGGATGTTGCTGATGCCTCTTCCTCTTCTCTCCGACTAGGTCAGTGATTAATTCTACAATATCCCCCCCCCATTCTGCACACATTTGGACGAAGTCCCTCCTGTAACATCCTGTCCCTAACTCATTCCCAGGCTTCCCCTCTTCTGCCTGCAGCAGTGGCTCCCTCTTACTGGTTTTCACCATCACATGGTGGTTCCCTGGCCCAGAAAAGCCAGGAATTGTTGGCAGAACTCCTCTGACTTCCTTATTATTTCACAGGATGGACTGCCAAAGACAAAATATAAAAATCCCTTCTGAGAGTTCATTACCAGCCACATTTTCTCATATCCAGTTTCCTTCTTCTCTTCCAAGAATCCTAAATAGGAGTAGATATTGATTTTGGAAATATGTCCCACAAATAGTAAGAGATAGCAAAGCCTACTCTGAACTGTGATGTTTAAATCTACATCTTGTTTTGTTCAGATAAAACAAAACTATGTGCTTTGTCAGGGTTAAGGGGACCTAACAGAAGAACGTTCTGTATTTAGCAGTAAAAATAAAAAAAATAAAAAAAAATCTTCTTACCACTTTTTTTCTGTGCTTGGAGTGAATACAGTATCTAGGGTCCTGCTTTTGCAAGCCCTTCTACAGGTTAGAAGAATCAAGAAGGAAAAATTCACCTGCAATTTTGATACACAACTTGACAGGACATGGGCTTCAACTCACGAATATTCTGAAAGACTTGTCTCCTGGAAAATGTCCATGTAGATAAAGTACTTAGGCAAGACAGGGCAGCATGGCAGCGTTGAAACCAGTTCTTACACTTTTTGTGTGCTGCTGCTCTTTGGTTCTTTGTGTTAAATATTCGGAATAGTTTCAATCTCTTTATTAACTGGTGAAATTAAAGCAGGCTAGATTGTGTGTGTGTGTGTGTGTGTGTGTGTGTGTGTGTGTGTGTGTATTATTTCTGATTGGTCAAGTTTGAAAGTTTACTGGACAATAGTAGTAATAATAATAATAAGTCACATCCACAATGCTTTCTTTCTGAGCAGCCTAGGGAACACAAGGCTGGCAACAGAAACGAGAATATACTCAGAACCTCACAGTCTCGCATTAGCAGGCTATCATTTTCAGATGCAAAGGCACAGTTAGACTCAGTACCTAGATACTGTCTCCTAGTTAGTCTCATATGAAGAGCATATCACACCCCAAAGAGTTCACATGGCCCTTCCCTGTGCTCACAGAGAGCACAGCTGACGGTGTGGTTTTCATGGTCAGTGAGTGTGAAAGCAAAGCCTGGTTGTTGTGTTCAGGCTCTGCCTGGTGACAGGGCAGTCACTCACGCCAGAGGTCCTTGCTCTTGGTTTAATGCTCTGCTCTCCCTGACCAAAGAAATTCAAAATCACTCTTGAGCAAGGACTCTGGAACCCTGCATTTTCAGTTTGCACAAGCTGTTACCAATCCTGCCTGCTGAACCGAGTCACTTTTGCTAGTAATGGCATGGCATCTCCTGTGCCCACCTTCTGTTTTCGTTGTTTGTTTTGTTTTAAATAGCAGTCAACTCATTTTTGGTTTACTTATGGAACCGAATATGTCGTGCTTTCCAGGTAGCAGGGTTTTTTTTTTTTTTTTCAA